AGGTTGTAGGGACAACTCAATCCTGTTCACCATCCCACAAAATAGTTTTACCGGGCTTTGAGTGTGACTGTAAATAATAAAGAAAGCTAAAGTTAATTAGCCTGAAATTGTGGGAGGGATCACTAGACTATTTCTACTCACCCAGGGCATCTGGCAGGATAGCACAACTGTACTGTTTTTCTCTTACGGCACTTCCCGTGTTGTAAATAGTGTCTTCTGTATCAAGAGGACCTACACACACCTTCAACAAGTAACAACAGAGAACGTACTGCTTCTGTCAATGGGCATCCATCAGTTTGCTATAATATGCAAAAATTCTTTCAGTGGCTGCCTGGGTAACCCTTGCTCATACTGCACTGCAAAGAGAGAAATTGAGGCCAGGAGGTAGAACCAATGAAGGTAAGTAGGTGAATGTACGCTATTGTCCCCATAGCAACTTAGTTGCTATGGTAGTGGGAGTGTTTATTTAAGTTTATAGACAAGTGAGAATATGTTGAGCATATAAATATGAAATAATAGTTGCATAGTAATCTACATTGAAAAAAAACCAAACTTTTTTTATATAGTGTAGCCACCACCTGAGCTCCAAGTACAGTTTTTCTAGTATAAACCCAGTTAAAGCGTGTCTAACTCCATCAAGGTATTTATCAAACTGTTCTTTTCTAAAAATTGGTCTGAAGTACCAACAGTGGGGCATTCACCATGGAAACCAGTGGAACCACAATGTGCATTCCATGGGTGACTCCTCCCCTTTCACATTTTTGTACCACTTTTAAGAGCAGAACACTTTGATAAATACACCCTTGTGTCTGGTGTTTCAATGAAAGTATTGCCATTCCAATAAGCAGATTTAAGAGTAGATGCAGTGGTGTACTAAGGAGGGGAGAGGGGGGCAGTCCACTCTGGGTGCCTCTCACTGGGGGGGGTGCACCAGGAGAGGGCCCGGCGGCTTGCTCAATATGCCGCCAGGTTCGATGCCCCTCCTGCGCCCTTTGCAGACACCGGTCTGCAGTTCTGCAGTGTGCAGAGCTGCAGACCATGTGTCTCGCAAGATCTGAGCAATCAGAGCGTTGCCGTGGGTTGCCAAATATAGGATCCGTCCCGGGTGCCAAATGCTCCAGGTACGCCCCTGAGTAGATGTACTGTAGATATATAAATATATACCTTGACTATTCTCTCATGATTTTAAAGATAGGGAAGTAAAACAAGGGCTCCTGCATCAGTAACACATGTATTACAGGTGGACGAAGGATTGTTGGTTTTGTTACAGTTTTCCCATTGGTATTTTTTTGATTTGGACAGGTTTACCTGACTGCTGACTACCCTCCAGAAACAACCCCCACAGCTTTATTAATTAATCAATGCCAGCAACTATTCAACACTGTCGGCTGTTGGGATGCTTCACCAACAGACAGATCTATCCCGTTAAACCATGAGTCTGAAACAGCCTGCCCCTGCCATCAGCTCTCAGCAGGCTGCGACTCCCCAAGCCGCCTCAGAACCTTCTTCCACTTATGACTGCACTGGCCAGGACATTAGTTGCTACCCCTTGTCATCATCGCACCCCCGCAGACAGCGCAGCCTCCACACCAGCCTGAGATGGACCCCATCCCGTGCATTAAATTTAGGATGTCGCCTTCCAACTCCACATACCTGACCACCACGCCTCCCAACCGCCGCACAAATTTTCCCACCGTTATGTTGAGCTTGCGTTGGCTTCTCTCCAACCCGCATGTGTGCATGTTGGCGCGCACCACTTCCAACCAAACCACTGTGAGATCTGGAAAAAGTGCTAAACACCGAGCCAGGTAGTGCCCAATATATGAAGGAATGCCCCAATATCCAGACATAATGGGGACTTGAACCTACAACGAGAAGAACATTACCACAAATGAGGCCTAACGTAGCACCGAAAGCGCCCAGATTCCCATCTACCAATGCGCTTAATCTCCGCAGCAGACTAGCCCAGCAAACTCGCCCGAGTGGCGGCCCCAATCCGAAAGGAATGTGCCGAGTACCCATGAGCATCCTCCCTGCAGGCCGACAATGCCCTGTGTAACATTGCTGTGAATTGGTAATGAGTCAGCAAAGACCCGTCCCTATGCACTAAAAGGGGGCCACCCCTCTTCGCCCCCTGTCGCACCGATCTGTACCCACGCACCATGAGACTCCTGATCTGTCTTGGATAGCCGCACAAAGATATCCATCGATGACTCCGACCACCGCAAGAGACAGCGACGAAGCCGACCACCAATTAGGCGCCACTAACTCACCTATTCGGAAAGCCCCCAAAAAACAGAAAGAAAAGGCCACCTGAAGGAGGCAAGACTTGAACTCCGACGCGCAATGGGCAAAACCGACAGTATACGCCCCAGTGTTTTCGCCCAGATAGGGCGACAGCGATCCGGACACCTCCGAAGCCTCCAACCCCGCAAGATCCACTGAATCCCAAATTCTTTTGTCAGGTCGCGCCAGCCCATAAATTGGAATAGGAAGGACAACGCTGCCAACGTTTTTTTGGCCACAGCACAAGACCTACCTTGCTTGTGCATCCCGTCCAAAACTAACAACGTTGCCTCGAGACGCCCGGATTCTGACTCCCCCCTTATGGCCTGCCGTCGACAGACATTGACCCATACAGCTCGATACGTCCTCCAAGGACTTTGCCAATGAATTCTTCACCAAGCCCATCAGGCCTCCAAATTGAGCTTCCATAAGGGCGCTGGACAACTCCGACTGATACGCTGTGCTTCTGGTGCTGACTCATGAAAACGGTCCCACTGCAACTGTGACAAAGCATCAGCTACCACGTTCTCAACCCCCGGACATGACATGCCTTAATCTACTCACTGAATTGCAAACTGAGCAGAACCAGCCGTCGCAGCAGTACCAATACTGGGGGAGAGGCTGATGATGACTGGGTGATCATAATGGTGAATAGCTCCAAAAACGTCAAGTTCCATATGAGCGCTGAAGACCACCATTTGGCGGACCACGCTTCGGCACACCACTGACCTCGAAAGTATGCATAGTGAAATACAGTACACAGTACACATAGTAAAATACAACTTAAAATAGGCTAAAACATATATAGGTAGTAAACAGAGTAATTGTAGTACTTGGGTATTTAATTTCATGTGAAAAATTAGGTGTCTATCACAGAATATAAGTGATTTATTATGATCATGTGACAACTTTCGGCAAAATTGCCGCTATGCCCTTTTGGGAAATGTAGTTTATTTTTTTACATTTTTTTTATTACCAAGAATATTCTTGGTAAAACAAAAATATTCTTGGTAAAACAGAAATGGAATGGGTATACAAGCTACATAATTTTTTGTAATATGTTCATTAGATGTATGCATGTTTACCTCTATCATCTGCTATTTTTATTGTTTTATTGTTTTATGTATTTAATGTTTTAATTGTTTTATCTCTATCATCTGCTTGTTTTATCTATTTTAATTTAACTTGTTATATTCCTGTATTAATTATAGCCCTCAGATATATTTCTAACTATATGTAATCTTCATATATGTTATTTGTTATCATTTGCTAATAAAGAAAAAAAAACAACACCTCATTTTTCACATGAACTTAAATACCCAAGTACTACAATTGCTCTGTTTACTTCCTACCTATATATGTTTAAGCCTATTTTAAGTTGTATTTCAGGTTCACCTGTCCCAGATCCTACAGCATGGCTCCATCTTCAGAGTACTCATCCGACGCTATCTGTAGCATTCCGGCTTCCTCCTCTGCAGCAGCTGACATGATCTCCCAACCGCCGGCATTCCGACCTCCAGCTCCTGCCTCCTTTGATGTGTGTAACGGCACCCCAGGCATAAAAGGGTTCTTCCCCTTCCAGAGACACAGGCACAGCTACTGCAGAACCCCAAACTCCCGAACAGGATACCAAGTAGCACTCCAAACTCCCGAACTGGAACCTCATGAATAGCTGCTAGCAGCTGAACAGGAAAAGTATCCAAGCGGCTTACACTCCTGGCAATCAGTCTCTAACAGCATACAGTAAAACCCCCCAAGAACGAGACAAAGCTCCGCGTTGAGGCTCAAGCAGTGAACAGACAGAGCCGTGGGTTTATTGTTCTTATATACACATTAGTACCACCCACAGGGTTTTGGAAAACAACCAATAAACACGTACAATATACTCAGACACTCCCACACAAAATCCTCCCGTCTCCTGTGATACAATTACCTTACACAATGGCTAATATAATTATCACAGACAGAGAAATACAGTTTTTCCACATTATTCATAACTTTAAAAGTATGCATCACATTCACATAAAACTTACATCTCAGAATCAGCATACTCCAAATACGAACATATGTCAAAATCATCCACATTGGTCCATTGGTTCAAAAGATAGATCGAAGTCCTTTGTGACCAAAGGAAGCATGGCTTTTCTGCCCAAAACCAGTTCCACAGAGTCTTCTATCCTGGAGATAATTGGGAAGTAATCCAATTATCTCCAAGGACAGAGGCAAAACTCCATTAAGCACATGGCAGTAAAATACAATAAAATACACAAGGTTACATTTATTACATAAAATACAGACATGCAACATATCCCCAGATAGCTTAGGTCTGAGCACACATTATTACTGAATGGCGCTCAGACCACACACATACAGTTCAATTGCCATGGAGCCAAAGTCTTTCCCATAGTCTTTCATTATACGAATGGGCTCCATGGCATAGCTATCTGGGGTATCACCGCTCAAACAGGGCAAGCACCGAATGACCCGGCTTTCATGTCTTTGCAGGGGAAAATCAAGCTTTTCAACATGGGGCCATAGTCTAAAGGCAGCAGGCGGGCAACCAGGCTCCTCCAATGCACAGTGGCGAAATTGGTCTCGTCACAATGTGGTGCCCATGCGCCATGGCGTTCCCACTCCATCTTCCAGTGCTGGAATGGATGTCCGATGACTTCCTGTGCGCGGCCGCCCTTCCGAGTCCGTCGCGTCCAGTCCAGATGACATCACTTCCGGCGTCGTTCAACGTCACGACCGACGTCCTCGCGTCACTTCTGGCCGCACCAGAAGAGAAGGGCACTCCTGGATCTTCCCGCCGAAACGCCATCTTGGGCCTGGTGCCGGATCTTCCCGCAGTCCTAAGCCTCAGCCGTGAAGCCCGGGGTGATGCCTCAAGCCTCTTGTCTCCGTCCCCGGCTTCCTCCGCCATCCAGCTTTTCCGGCCAACGCCACCCTCCACTGTCACTGCTGACTGCCTTGGACCCGGAACTGCGCCAGGCGCTCGTCTTCTCTCCACTTCGGTGAGCACTTCATCCAGGGAACCCGCTCGGTTTGAATCCAGGTAAACCTACAACAAGGCCACCATGTTGTCCCTTGAAACAGCGCGTTTACTGATCCTAATGTCGCCTATACACACTAATTTCTTCTTCTTTTTTTGGATACAGTCAGCTGTACAGCAAAGGCAGAAGGAATGGGAGAAAGTCAGGATTTCCTTATCTCTGCATCAGTCATGTCCCCTCCTTCCTTGTGAGTCCAGTGAGGGTCTTTCTCAGTGTGGTAAGATGTAGTGACATATCACTATGTCAGTTAGTTTGACCAGGGCTAAAATTCATTGCGTAATGTTAACGGATTACCCATATGTACAATTTTTTATGGTCAGTTACTTGGTTGGTTGAATTAGCTAAAAATAGATTACAGGAACACTCCAAGCACCATGACCATTATAGTTTGCTGTAGTTTTTATGGTGCCTGGAGTGCTCTGACCCCCTCCCATTGCAAGTAGTCAAACCATATATTATTATATGTTATTATTACATGTATTAAAAGTCAAGTTTTATATATATTCAGTCTTTTGTTAGTTACAGGAACAATTCTTTTACTTTGTCCTTGTTATCACATTAGGAATTATCCTACTCCCACTACTCTACCTTGTGATATACAGGAATCATCCTGGCTTTTTCTTTGCTTGAAGTAGTCAAGCCATTTTGAACTGCACTGAGTACTGTAGGGCTTAGCTCAGGAGAGCTAACTGACACTTCTGCTTAGGAATGTCTGGCTATCGGTGTTAGTAGTGGTTATGGGGAAAGGGTCTGCCTAGTTACAATATCGGGGGGGTCACCAAGCATTCTCGGCAACATAACCGCAATTTCACATTGGAGTGCTCCTTTAAAAATGTAGAAACAGTGTTCAATTTTTACTGCATATAACCATGGAACATGTTTTAATGTTTTATTCTTTTGGCAAGTGACTCAGAACTAATAGCACTGGCAACAGGCTATACAGAAACTGTACAAAATATATTATACATTCATCTTTGCACGATCATTAAATGAAAGCAACAAATGTTCACTTTATTTACCAAACCTGACAGAAAAGCAATGCTTTCATGCTAACAGACGAATCTGCTCCATCTTATGATTCAGAGATTGCAGATTCTTCCTCTTGATACATCTCATTACTTTTTGGATGCATTCCACACAGTTCGGCACTAAACGTTGCCTTAAATGTAATTGCCTTTTTTATCTTTCAGAAAACAGAACATTATACTCCGTCTATTGAGTTGTTCGTTCATCAAGCCCTTACATTACTCAGTGCCTCTAAATCTAAATCATTATACGCAACACATAGCAAAACCTGGATCTTAGTGGGGGAAACAGATAAAGGAAACAGTGGGGGAAACCGATAAAGTGATCTGATATCACAATTAGGGCAAAATGGCAAAAAATATATTAATAAATTCCACTACAAATGTTTTAAATAAAACTTCAAAATTTACAACATATACTCTACGCATCACCTAGAAGTAGACTGAGAAATGTAAATTTAGAGGAAAGACAGCTAGAAGACAATCCCAAAAAAGGAGAGAGGAAAATGTTTTAAATATAAATAAGCCCCAAAAGAAGAAATAATAGATGTTTAAAGTCTCGGTATTTTTAATCTATCACAAAAAAAAAAAAAAAAACATTGTCAGCAGCGGAAATACATGTACTAAGAAATGGCTAAAAGTGTGATCCAACACAAGCGTTTAATCCTTTTAAATCTCTTGTTGATATTAATAAGTTTGTTAGGAATGCTCCTTGAAAATGTTACTGTGCAGAATAGGAAGATGATCCAATAGATTGGACCTATAAATCAAACGAATAGTGCATATAATGAAATGACTTACAATCAAAATAATATTCGTGCTAATTCTACATAAATTGGCATGAAGTTAAGGGGAAAAAGTAGTTTTTACCCTGTTAGTTATGTGTCAGCTCAACTACAATTTTTTGAATAACAAGGCCTATATTTAATATTGTTGGATAAACTTTAAAAAAATGTAAAATATTGTTAAAAATATTTAAAAAAATGTATAGTTTGATATTTTTTTATATATTACATTTTATATATAAATTCGTTTTGATATTTTGTTATTTTGAAAAAAAGGAATCTTAAAAGTTTATCTAAAAATATAAAATCAGCTGAAAAGCTTATCCAAAAATATTTATATTCCAGATATATATGTTTTGCAAAAAACTCACAAAATAGAGAATCTTCCACCTGGTCATTAGTTTCAGATGAAAACTCATTGTAATCAAATTTGTTTGGGTGTATCAACCTACTTTTGCAAGCTATACTATATAAAATTAAACTTTACTTAAAACACTCTATGAGTTTAGTATAAGACTATAAAGAAGATATAAAATGGTTCACTGGATCAATTTAATTAGACATTCAGTCACTTCACATCAGTATACCACATAAGAAGGGATGTGAGACTATGATATATGTTAAAAATAAAAATTAGTTGCCAAGGGATCAAATAGATTTATTGATAGAATAGAAATCATTAAAAAAATATACACATATATTTTTTTTTTTTACTGGAGAGCAGAGTCAACTGAAGGATGTCCTGAGTACCGATTTCCATCCATAATTTCTAAAGCTAGATGTGGACAATGCACACTATAATCTGCATGTTTATTATAGCCCTTTTCTGTTCTTCACTAGGCATTGTGTAATGATATTGATGTTACAAAGTTTTGGAGTCCAGTAGCCAGATCAGCAATGTTTTCTGCCAGAGGTAGCCACTCGTTACCCAGGTGGTTGAGCCCCTGAGCCTTGAGTGGCCTTCTGGTCTTAAGCAGAGATGGGAGACTGGAACAGAAAGATGATAATCGTAGTGAGGCAAGCCGAGGTCAGTGGGAAGGAGAAGCAGCAAAGTCAAAACAGTCCAAATTCAGCAACAGGAAGGAGAAACAGGAACACGCTTGATTAGAGAGTACAGGAACCACAATAATCTGGCAAAGGTACAGAGACAGGAAGTGGCTTTTATAGGCCAAGAACCAGACACCTGACCAGACACAGCTGAAGAGAGTTGTCACTGATAATCTTGACTCTACAAGCAATGGTATCAGATCTTAGGTAAATTTGCAAAAGGCAGGCTGGTGTACTGGTAAGGAAGAGGTTTAGCACCATGTAAACCAGGGTTCGAAACCCAGCAGAGTCAGTTCCTCACATTACCCCCACCTCTATAAGCGCAGCCTCTGGATGCCCTATTTCCTGGTTTAGCAGGGTACTGTGCATGGAAAGACTGAAGAAGATCAGGAGTGTGAATATTGTCCACTGGTTCCCACGATCTATCCTCCTCACCATAGCCTTTCCAATGAACCAAATATTGAAGCTTGTTGCGGAAGATCCTGGAGTCAAGAATTTTTTCCACCTCGTATTCATCTTCACCATCCACGAGGACTGGTGGTGGGACAGGCAGGGCTCGACCAGGGAAAGTGTTTTCATGAAAAGGTTTAAGCAGTGCCACGTGAAACACCGGATGTATTTTCATGGAATCCGGAAGTTGCAGACGGAAGGTGACTGCATTGATCTGAGCGATGATCTCAAAAGGTCCCATGAACTTTTGACCCAATTTATGAGAAGGAATCCTAAGCTTAAGATTCTTTGTTGACAGCCAAACCTTGTCCCCAACATGATAAACTGGGGCCTCCTTTCTGTGCCTGTCAGCAGCCCTTTTGTAACATTCCTGAGCCTCCAAAAGAGTCTCCTTCAACAGTTCTTGGGAATCTCGTAAGGCGGTTAGCCGGTCAGTGACTGCAGGAATGGAAGTAGTAATTGGGAGACTCACTAGAAAGGTTGGATGGTAACCATAATTGGCAAAAAATGGGCTCAGAGAAGTGGAGCAGTGTTGGGCATTGTTATAGGCAAACTCCGCCGTGGGTAGAAAATCCAGCCAGTCATCCTGCAGGTAACTAATATCCCGCAAATATTGTTCTAAAGTCTGGTTGGTTCGCTCAGTCTGTCCATTACTTTGTGGATGAAAAGCTGAAGACAGATTTACATTAATACCTAGAATAGAACAAAAACATTTCCAAAAATGAGATGTAAACTGCACTCCCCTGTCAGAAATTACTTCATCAGGCACTCCATGCAAGCGAAATATTTCCCGAATAACTAGGTCAGCAGTCTGTTTAGCTGAAGGGAGACCACGAGCTGGTATGAAATGACTCATCTTAGTTAACCGGTCCACAACAACAAGAATGGTAGTGTGTTCCTTAGAGGGAGGTAGTTCCACAATAAAGTCCATGGATATAGATCCCCAGGGACGATGAGGAATCGGAAGAGGCTGAAGCAAGCCAACAGGGGATGAGCGAGGAGTCTTATGTCTGGCACATACATCACAAGAGGACACATACTTCTTAACATCCTCATAATATTTAGGCCACCAAAAGGATCGGGTAAGTAGTTCTTGTGTCTTTCGGATTCCTGGATGACCTGCTGGTTTAGAGTCATGGTAGAGGCGTAAAACGTCCAGTCGCACTGATTCTGGAACAAACAGACGTTGTTGAAAAATCCAAAACCCATTAAGCATGGTCATATGAAGATCACGAGGAGGATCACGAAAAACTGGATCTTTAGAGTAGCCCTTTTAATGCGAGACATTAGATCAGAAGGAAAGGTAACTCCTAAAAATCTGCTCTCCGGCAAGATGGTGGCCTTGGTTACTGTAGTATGGAGGGGGTCAGCTATCCTAGACAAGGCATCCGCCTTGCCATTTCTGGAACCAGGGCGGTATGAAATAAAAAAATTAAACCTTGAGAAAAATAGGGACCAGCGTGCTTGTCTGGCTGACAGTCTCTTAGCGGATTGAATACATTCCAGATTTTTGTGATCTGTGAGGACAGTAATTGGATGGGTGGCTCCCTCCAAGAGATGTCTCCATTCGGCGAAGGCAGCTTTTATAGCCAAAAGTTCTTTATTCCCTATGTCATAATTTCTTTCTGCTGGTAACATCTGGCGGGAATAGAAGGCACATGGATGTAACAACATCTTAGGTCCAGTCCTTTGAGACAGTATAGCCCCAACAGCTGAATCAGAAGCATCTACCTCTACAGTAAATGGCAATTCTGGCTGAGGATGTACCAAGATAGGGGCAGATGTAAACAGAGTCTTTAATTTGGAAAATGCAGTGTCAGCCTTATTGGACCACTGAAAAGGAGTCCCTTTACGTGTAAGTTCAGTGATCAGTGTAATAACGGCAGAGAAATTCTTAATGAAACGCCTGTAAAAATTGGCAAACCCCACAAATCTCTGTATATCTTTTTCATTCTTGGGGATGGGCCAGTCCAGCACAGCTTTAATTTTACTTGCGTCCATACTTAAACCTTTAGGAGTTATTACATACCCCAGAAACTGAATTTCTGTTTGTTCAAACTCACATTTTTCCAGTTTAATGTATAGGTGGTGGGTACGAAGGTGCTCAAGAACAATGCAGACCTGTTTTCTGTGATTTTCAAGATTATCAGAAAATATCAGGATATCATCCAAATATGCCACAACAAACTGATCCAGGAGATCCCGTAGTACATCATTTATTAGATGCTGAAAAGTTGCAGGGGCATTACAAAGCCCAAATGGCATTACTAGATATTCGTAATGTCCGTACCTGGTTCTGAAAGCTGTTTTCCATTCATCATTTGGTCTTATGCGAACCAGATTATATGCCCCCCGTAGATCAAGCTTTGTAAATATTTTAGCTGAGCGAAGTCTCTCCTGAAGGTCAGGAATGAGAGGCAAGGAATAGTGGTTTATAACAGTGATGTTATTAATGTCCCTGTAAACGACACATGGCCGTAGACTGCCATTTTTCTTTTCTACAAAAGAATATAGGAGCTCCTGCTGGAGAAGTAGATGGTCAAATAAAGCCTTTGGCAAGATTTTCTTGCAAGTATTCACAAAGTGCTTTCAATTCAGGCTCAGAAAGGGAGTATATACGGCCAAATGGGAAAGCAGCTCAAGGTAGCAGCTCCATGGGGCAATCATAAGGCCTGTGAGGTGGAAGCTGACCAGCATTCTTCTTATCACAGACATCTGCAAAATCCCGACATTGTAGAGGAAGCTTAGTTAAGTTTGTAGCAACCATTTCATTAATTGTTGTGGCAACAGGTGTTGACAATTCATTTAACAGTGTTACTGATTATAAATTAACTAGCTCACAGAATCAAGACTATAAATATAATACACTCTGGTTCTGGAAGCAGAGTGTATTATATTTATAGTCTTGATTCTGTGAGCTAGTTACTTTATAATCAGTAACATGTTTAACCCCTTAAGGACCAAACTTCTGGAATAAAAGGGAATCATGACATGTCACACGTCATGTGTCCTTAAGGAGTTAAAGAATAAGGGTATCTA